ATATAGATTTATATTTGTTTCCAAGTGAAAATACCCGCAGCATTGCTACAACAAATTAAAAATATATATCATTAGTATTAAAATCTAGTAAAAAAAATTATTAAATATAGATAGGACAACCGTTGGGTTGCCATTCAAAAAGGCAAAAATCATCACACATCTTATAAAACTATTAATTTTAGTTGCATTCAAAAAAACATCAAAATTATAGAACCAGACCTAAAATTATTTGTTAGTTTAAATTTTAATTCTAATTCTATGTAATTGTTATATATTTCTGATAATGAGTGATGTTTTGATGATTGGATGAAGATTTTTTCAAATTATGTGTCAAGAACTCATTTTCCACTTCAAAGACGTTTATAATACATCTTTCAACTGAAACGACGAGGTCTGCATTTACTAAAAACCAATTAGCTCTGATCATTAAAAAATGCGAATTTAATGGTTTTTGGAGAACCCAAGTCGGTTCACCACTTTTGTCGAGAATGTGGCATATCCATGTACACACACGTGCATACATTAGTATATGACATACGAGTATATGAATGACTTACTTAAATTCATTTTAATTTTATTTATTCTATTAAAAAATATTCAGTCATTTATATTTTTATGATATATATGAAATAATATAAGTCAATAATATACACCTTTTAATTTTATTGAGTTTTTCCTTTGTGTGAATTGGACATTTATTACATATATTTTTAATATATGTTTAATAAAATATGCTAATTAAATGTTATTTTATATTTTTATTATTCATATATATATATATATATATATATATATATATATATTGTATGTGTATTTTTCTGAAAGAAATGCAACGCATAACTCTAATAAGGCTATGTGTTGCGCTGCCCATCTTATTGTCATTTCATTCTTGTATTTCAACGACTCATCTTTTTTTTTTTTTTTTATACTTTATTTAATAGCAATCAGAATTTACAAAATTCTATGAGCTATTATGCTTATGTTTAAACACACTCACACAGTAAACATACTCACACACAGTCATACACACACACATAATAAATTGGCTGAATTTTAAAAGTTTCAATAGCTGCCACTCCATCGAGTGGTCAGCTAATCTGGCTGAGGTAAACGACTCATCTAATGATATTTTTGCTCTTCTATGAGCACCGGTCCTAAACCGAAAATTATAAACGTAACAACTATTATGTTGTTTTTATTATATTATGGGGACGCCCACCCAAACACCAAGAGATGTCACCCAATTAACTTACTGCAGGAAAGACCGAGAAAATGTTTACAACTTACAAACATAATTATTTAAATATTAGTTGAATCAGAAGAATATAAAATCCATCCAAAACATTCGATATATAATGTATTTCAAGTTTTACAAAAAGGTTCAAAAACATTCTATTGGTGACAACAGCATTTCCAGCTATTGTAATCCAGAAACGAGTTCACGTCAAATGAAAATCTTTCAATAGCAAAGAAGTTTAAACCCATACATATTGATTTACAATCTTGAAACAATTGGCCATAAATATAATTTTGCTAACTCAGCATTTAAAATTTCATTAGATGTAAACAAATTTCATAAACTGCAATAAAAATCAAACGTATAAATTAACATTTGCATAGGTAAAACCTACCTTAACGTATAAATTTCTTGTATCAGAACTCATTCAAAATAATTAATGTGGTTAATAAAATCGATAATTATTCCAGAGCCGAATTATAAAAAAGAATTATTTACTGAAATGGAGATTTAAGTTTTGACAATATCACGTACGATATGAGTAATATGTAAAATATAACCATTTTACAAAATAATATATAATAATTTTAATAACTTAAAATGTAATTAAATTTGTTATCTTATAAAATTATACACTAAGTTTAATTTGAATTATCGTTATTTATATAAACTTGATTAATTAATATGGATGTTTATCGGCAATATTTTGTAATCGATTTCAGCATTCGCAAAATACTAAATATCTTTCAAAATTGGCACAATATTTAAATCATTGCGTTTATGTATAAATAATTGTGTTCCATCGTCAATGATTGTAAGCTAACTTTAATAAGTATAATTTCTTATCAAAAACTATACTCAGATTTCGCTATGAGAGCAGGTATACACAAAAGTTTTCATATTAAAAAAAATCTTAATTTAAAATTGGAGGTAAATAAAAATAAATATCGTGTACATAGTCATTTAATATATTTATGTATGCGTTTGTGTAAAATTGTTGTCTGAATAGTAAACATTTTTTCTCAACTACTTTTACCATATGATCATTGTAATATTTTGTTCTTAACAAAAGGTTTGATGATGGAACAAACGTACCTAGTTCCGAAATGGCACAAATAAATACCTTTACAAAACGTGTTTTTTTTATTTTGTTGAACTGCTGTTGAGAATGGTCAAGAATTGACCAGCCACTTCTGTAACTAACCCGAAAAATTCCTCGGGGTAGGGGGTAATAAATATTCACGCATACGAATATAAATACCTGCAGGTCATTATAATGTAGTGAGTCTAGCAAGTAGGATGAGAGTAAAAACATGTAGTTTTGCGTATGATTATTTACGTTATTTATTTTTAATAATTAACTTCCCATAAAATAAATATTAGTTTATTCACTTTTTATGGTGACGGGATAATCAATTATAGTCCAATAATTAAAACACGTGATAGGAAACAAACAATAAAAAATCCAAGAATAATACACATATATACAAATTGTCTATGAAAAGTTTATCAAAATATAAATATATCACAAGATAAACAATAGATAAGAATAACAAAAGATTTTCAGATGTTTTCTTGCTCTGTTCTTAATTATAAGAGTTAAGATACTACATTGGTATTATATGCGTAAGCATATTTTGCGCAAACTTGCAGCAGAAAGCCGCAAAGGGACTACTGCAAAAACATGAATCATTATGAACATGTATATTATTATAACCATAGAATTCACTAACATCTGCTTCTGGCCGAGGTTCTATATAAAGCACCCTACACGGACGGAAACCTTACACACATGTTCCTAGAAATCACGAAATTAAATAACGCCGTCTAAGGCGCGCCTGTTTAAAGTATATCTGATACAGATATAACGAAAAAACCCCATAACGAGGAATCGTGAACAAAACGTGTTACTTAAAATTACTCGTATGTGATGCAGTACAATATATTCAACGCACGTCGAATGTCTAATATGTTTCATTTCTTTACTTCTACCTGTGCGCCAGAGACGAAATCTTCAGGTTTAAAAGAAGTCGCCGAGAGCCGTGGTGATTCGATTCCAAGAATTTTTTTACGTCTCAAGTATTTGCTATCGACAAGGTAGAACGACTCATTTCCGAGTATTTCCTATGACTTGCTTTCTACTTGTTTCAGATTGAGAATTTCTTAATAAATGTATGTGTGACAGGTAATAACTAGGATCAATTTATCCAAATGTGGTGTAGATTATTGATTATTTTATAAGAAAAATTCCAATTATATTTTTACATGATTAAAAGCAAACAATCATAAATATATGAATAAAAAATATGTAATAAACTCCAAATATAAAATAATCCCTGCTATTGCTTTGCTTTAACAATTAATTTAATGTATATTTCATTATTGATATTATAGTTACGCACATCATATTGATGAAAGAAAATAATTATCCACAATGAAATTTATTTTTAATAATTAACTTCCCATAGGGAAAAATAGTAATTGCAAAAAAATCGAAAAGGAAATTTTTTTTCGTTTTTTCACGTTTCAGAGGTTTCTGAATATTTTGGCATACCTTAGAAATAATTAATGACGTGTGTGTGTGTTCGCGATTTCGGAAACACAATTTAACCAATTTGAATGATTCAAAAAATATTCGATTTCTATTGATAAGGAAATGTGTGGATTAGTTTGTGGCGAAGGCAGGTCCGAGATATGGGGCAAAATAATAGTAGTAATTCAGTTTTTGAGAGAACACAGCGTCCGATTTCACTAATCTGGAAAGCATTTTACTTGTGTTGACAAAATGAAGAACCGATTAAATTTTTGGGAAGGCAGGTCTAGCGGTTTTGGAGATCGAGTGAAAAAAGTTTTAAAAAAAATTAGGCGGTTAATAATGATCATTGGACATATACACATCAAATAAGTTATCGGATATTTTATAGAAATTTTCATAATAAGTATGAATTTTGTTTATATTTCTATGTGTTCCGTACCAATGTTTGTTCGCTAGACTGCAACGCGGCGCTAAGGCGCTTCGATATTTCTTCTCTAAAACAGCGGCGCAGCACAAATGCTTTGAAAAAAAGTTCAAAATTTTCAAAAAATTCAAAATAAAAAAAAACTAAATTTTCAAACTTTAAAATGAAAAATATCAAAATTTTCGAAAATTTTCAAAGTGCTCAAAGACTTTTAAAGGTTTTTTGAAATATAAGGCACGATGCCATGCGTCACACTTCGTAGTCTTCGTACCATCTACATCTACGATGAGATCTAAAAAATAATTATTTGGTTATTATTTTATATATTTTTAAATTTAATTAAATTTTTTTCGCCTTTGAATTAAAAATTTTCCATTTAAAAATATAATTTAGTGTACCAACGTATATACATGTTTAAATCATAATTTAATGCATCAGTGAGCAATATTATCTCGGGAATTTATACGAGGATGCAAAAAGCAAAATGATTTTTATTGCGCAACATGGAGTACCGACCACCGAAGAGACGGACGCTTTGGCCGGCGAAACGGGTGGTATAATATAATTTTGCATTATTTCGGAAAGGGTTTAACGTGTGCTAAGACATGTTAAAATGTTTATTTGTTTTCTTATCAGACTACATACCTGTTTTGCCGGATGTTAGACAGTCCTAAGCCCATACCACGAAGCACTCACCGCACGACTACAGGCAAACTACCATAAGCTAACAACTTCTTTTTGTGACCAACACAGAACCAGTACCATTATGTCTGCCGTGGCGAGCGCTGTGCTCTGCAGACGCTTTAGTGCGATTTCATTCGAATAAATAACATAAAGGTTTCAAATACAAAATCCGATTTTGTTGCAAAACTAATTTCGAATCGGGTACAAGTGCTCCCAACGTTCAATTCGGTCTACGATCAGTATTTCTGTGGAACGGTTAATGTTTGTGTGGAAGCGATTTAAGGTTAAGGCACTACATGCTTTTCCTGATTATATCTTCTAAATATTTTAAATCTAGAGTTGAATGGACTTCACATCGCTTAAAGAATCATTCACGTAATTAAGAACGACTTTTTAAATATAATCGGTGTAATAACAGTTCGTATTAAATAGAAAATTATTATTTTTTATTTAATATTGCGGTAGTATGGTAACTGTACAATGGATTATTCATAACTAAAGCATCTTACGGTAAGTTATTTTACAATGGTTACAATTTCATTAAACTTTAATCATTTTTGTGTTATTTATTATCAATATTTTATTATATCGGAATAATTCAGGTTATTTTATGGTAGGCCCGCATTTAATCTTATTGTGTTCAAACAAAATTGTCCATGCCATAAAATGTCTGGTATTGAGTTGTTGGTTCGACTTTTTCAATGTCAAGAATGCGTCTCTTCTTTCAAGGGTATAGGTATATTTCACCTTTTTTCGCATTCTTTAGAGGACCTGTACTCATACTCAAAACCACTCCAATTTTGAATCATATGACGTATATTAATATTTTACCATATCCTATTGTTATATCTAATTAACGTATTATTTTTTAAAATGACATTTTTACATATGTTAATTTCCATTAATTTAAAAATTATATATATATATATATATATATATATATAATACTTGATGCGTAGTGTTTAAACACCCTACCTTGTGTAAACAAAGTGATAGTTCAAACTTGTGCTCCGGAAAACTTTGTATCATGCCGTAGTGATATTGGTTTTCACTTGAAGATATAGATCAAAAATATGTGTTGAATTAATAGTCTGAATTCAATTAGTTTACGTAGAATATATTTGCCTATATATTCATTACTTTGATGTTGATATGCAATGCCTCAAAAGACTATTCTCACTTCATATAATATTTGAGGTGCATAATTTTAAGTGCATATCTGATCACTACTGCTTGATATTAAGCTGGTCGAGATGGATATCGAATTCAGAACCAGTGATTTTTATTTCATGATAAATTTAAAAGTATTGGCTAAATCTATTGGCTAGATGCTCTGAATACTTCTATCTTGATCATACTTTAAAGTGGAGTTCATTCTTTTGAAATAAGAAATATCGGCCTTATAATTCATTATATTGCTTTTTATCTTCAATGAATTCTTTTATCTAAATTTTTACATATTTGTCGTATATTCATATTCAATAAATCGAGTAAATTTTATCAAATTGTTCACAGAAGGCAAACAAGTATACAAATTTGTACTATATGTATTATATATCTTGCTTCAATTAATTGATTTTTCCAATAAACTAAAATTATTCACATGCTTTGTAGGCATTAAATTAAATCCTATTTAATGCTACCCTCATACAGTTTTAATAACAGAACATCTGTTATTTGCTGTCTGGCTAAACGAATTCCAGGAAAATACACGCAATTTAATAGTGTGTATTCATGCACCACAAAACAACAGTATAATTTGAACGATTATAAAAATTTATATAAATACAATCGTGAATAAAATTAAAATCGACCAGAATTAAATTAATAAAGTGATTTCCTGACACAAACCGAACACAAATAAATGATGCTGCTAATTTAATACGTAAAATTGAATAATTTTGAAGAATAATATATTTATTTGTATACATTCGCTGAATTCAACTTTAATTAATAAGAATGAAGTATATAGATTTTTATTCATGACATTATATTTTAATCTACGTCAAATATTTTTTTTAATCTTTTTATACGTTTTATTTTGCAAAATTCGAGCAGCCTGTTGTCAGGCAACAGTGACAACGATTTTCACTTGGAAAATAAATAGCAATATGTTTCCAAGTAAAAATAGCCCTCACCCCATGGGCATTGTTGCACCATACTTGCCCTTTTACAGAGATTGTAATAAAAATTTATCATACAGAGATGTGACAACTGTTTGGGTTGCCATCTGTAATAAAACAAACGTAGTTTGTAAGATATTAATCACAACTGCTCATAGAACCCATAAGTTCTGATCGCTGTTTAAATAAAGAAAAAAAAATTGCAAAAAGTATTAAAATATGTCACCGAACTTCAAAGATAAGGCACGTCAAAATCAAATGATATTTTGCACACCTTTTTCTTATAATTGCAATTATAAAGTTGATTGTTATCTTTTTTTAAGAGCTATCATAAATTATAAGCTGTTGAGCTAATTTGACCTAATACTACACACGTCGGTTTTACAGATGACAACCGAAAATAGTTGTCTTATCTCTGTGTGATAAATTTTCTTATTGCAATTTCTGTAATAGGGCAAATATTTTATAAACGCAGCAGTGCCGGATGAAGACTATTTTCACTTTGAAACATATTGCTATCTATATTTCGAAGTAAAACCGGATGTCACTACTGCTTGACATCAGGCTCCCCAAAGCGGGATCGAACCCAGGACCCCTGATTTAAGCCCTGTGCCTCTAGCCTCTTACCCACCTGAACAATGTAGATTTTGCAGCATCTAAACATAATGTTCTTCCAAATTATTAGTAATTATTTTAATATTTTAATAATAAGTAAGGCTTCTGTGTGGCTCAGTGTTAAATTCTTTGGTCTTGAAGCTCCAAGACCCGAGGGTTAATACCCACCACGGGTAGCATAATATCATATAGTAATCATATCGGTTCTGACTTTAAAATATAAATCTAAAATATGTTTACAAGTGTAACTAGCTCTTGATGCATCAAATTAAAAAAAATATCATCAGTATTAGGGACATCCTAATAATTAAAATAAATCAAATATACATAGGCCAAACATTAGGTTAATTTTCTAAGTTGCCTGGAATGCCACGTAGAAGAATTATCATCACATAACCTTATAGACAATTTAAGTTATGGTTGCTGTTCCAGAAATTAAAAAAACTTACATTCGTGCAGAACTCTGTTAATGTCTATATAGCTTTTTGCTACATCTCTTTTTCTATTGGCACTGCAGGGGATTAATTCACTTTTGCTTTTCTAAACTATTATATAGAATTTAAGTTTTTATATACGCCATATAGAAATTAGCTCTCATATGTGTTTATCACTAGACAGGAAAACCTGTTAAACTATAGTAAATATATTACCGAGACGTATGTTAATTACATATTCAGCGCATTTTGTATAATCGATATTGAAGAAAGTCAAGGATCTTTGTAAATAATTATACATTCAGAGTTTATTAATTATAAAATATAACATCTGCCTGGCTATCATTCCTTTCGCACAATTTCAATTTAAATGTACACGTTTGCTGAACGTAATATTAGTCGATGATGATCTGAAAAAAGAAGTTGGTTCGGTCATTGTCGTTTTTATATTATGAGTAGTAGTTTATAATTGAGCTTTTATGCATATGATTTTATATTTTTGTAGTTAGACGAAGATGTAGATTACACCTTACAAAATTGTTGTCAAATGTTAATTAACTTTCCTTTTCTTGTACTTGATTTTTTATTATTTTTTTATTTAATTAATAAAAAGTAGCACGTATTTTTACTTCAAATATTTAATAATAAATTTTAGTACAGTTAAAATTTATAAGAAAAATCGATACCGATTAAATAGGGCAAAGCTAAAGGACTCAACGATACAAAAAGTTTGGGAACCTATGCTTTAAGGATCAATTCTGAAACTTCAAAATTTGTATTTTTTTCTTGATATTCAAATTATATTCTTAGTGACTTTAAATGATTTTTAATATCTATTAATTGACATTATTTCGCATTTTTGCAAATTCAATAGTACGTCAAGATATCATAATTCACACGTCATCTGCATTCAAGCAGATACAGTCTATTTTCTTGATAAATAGAGAATTAAAGCTCGAGAAACTTCAAAGAATAACGATTATTGCTTTATAGAAATTATTAATTGCTTCAGCTCACAGCCATAAACAATGATCAAATATCTGTCATGTCCTACTTTCAGTGAAAACTGTAAATGTTATATAGTTTTAAAATGATTTTCAATGTATTCCTCAAATTGAAAATTTTCTTTTGTGGGCAAATATTAATATAATTATATATAACATAAAATGATATAATATGTATAATAAAGTTGCATTGATTTCCAAACAAGTTTTCTTCACTTCACTTTCCGCTGTATATTATCGAAACCGAAAATTAATGTCATTAAGTTTGAAATTACACCACTCTTAAATAAAATATATTTTGTTTTTCTCAAAAATTGTAATTTTAATAGCCAATGACCCGATGATAAAGCGTATAGACGCTTGACGAATATACTCGTCAATACACAAAATTCTGCCATTTTCTCGTAACTAGTATACTTGTCAATTATAACCAGTTATCTCATTGGTTTTTGCTAAAACAATATCTTGACATGGAAATTTTGGGGAGCGAAATATGAGACCATGGCTTAAGAATTTTTCTAAAAAAACTTACAATTACAATATCAAAGTATTAGGTTGTCAAATATCTCCCTTCCGCTTTTTTGCTCTTGGTTTATAATACAAAAAGGATATTTGACAACCTATTAGAATTCTCAATAAATTTACCCAAAAAGATAAACCTTTCAATAAATTTATGATATCGTATGTTAATTGATTTTTTTAAAATTTTCCAATGTTTTTAAATTTCTTAATTTACAAAAATCAAATTTATATTGATAATTTAACTTCAATCGGGCTCGCTCGTAGGAAAGTGACTAGAATGAGGATCGCTATTTCGGAGCAGTAGTGACAACGGTTTTCGCTTGGAAATATAGATAGGAATATGTTTCAAAGTGAAAATAGTCCTGACAACTGTTTGGGTTGCCATCTGTAGAACTGACTGGAATTCAGTCATATCAGTCCGACAGCTTATAGGGCTCTTAATTAATTCGGTACGAGCGACATGTATACTCTACGGCCGCAGAATGCCTCACACAACCGGGCGTCGCGTTGAGTTGACGTTGCATGCCGGCTGCGAGCGACTTTTCGCGGCACCTATGCCGTACTGAAGTGGTTAAGTACTGATTGCTGCTCATAAAAAAACTTCATTTAATTTGTTTATTAAACGAGAAATTCCAGCAATTGGATTAAAGATTCACTTCTAGTTTAACAAGTGATCCATCCGAATACAACTTCCTTGTTCCATAATTACATAGAATATTTCGTTGTTTAACAGCTAGGCCATTGTGTCGTGTACATAATCCTTACGACTAATGTATTCGAGTGCGTGCTCTTGTAAAGGGGGTTAGGATATT